AGGGGGGTTGGTAAGAGGGACTTCTCGTGTGGGGGCCGAGTACTGGGGGTGGAGCTGGGGGCTGAGGGGGCTCCCCCATGGAAGATGCTAGGGCTGGGTGAATCAAGGGGGGACCCTTGGTGAGGAGGTGCAGGGAACTCCCCCTCCCACATGATCCACCTGGTGGTGGGGTGGGTCCATACCGGGCATCCCCTTTGGGGTATGGGCTGGACTTGTCTGGGGTCCCAGTCAGGGTGTGTGTTGAGGTGGAGGTGCTAGAGACCCCTGTGGGGGATCTGGGTCCCCAGGAGCTGGGGGGGACCCCTTGGGTGATCATACTGGCAGCTGGGGGTGGGGACTCATTGGGATAGGGGGTTGCTAGGGACCCCATCCGGTTGATCGTCCTGCGGGTTGGAGAACTTGTAAGGGTGATCACAGGGGGGAGGTCAGGGTCGAGATGAAGGTTGCCTCTCTCTCTGGGTTAGCCTGGGGTTTGCCTGCGGGCCCTTGGGAAGTCTTGTTTGTATTGTCTCTCGGTGACAGACCTGGGCTAGGCTGAGTCTCCCCCATTCCAGGCAGAGTGAGACTTTAACTTTCTAGCACCTTTTGGAAAGTGGAAAACTAACCCTGCGTTTCCTGGCTTCTCACCTTTTCTTTTCTGCCTTTCGGACGTAACTCTGAACATTCTTGGGAGGATTAAGTTGCCCCCCCACGTCTCCGGGTTTTCCAGCAATTTGAGTTCCCGGACTTCAACTCTCGTGTTCCAGACGGGACACAATGGCCACACGGCTGCAACCTTATCTGCACCTTAGCCATGTAATCTGTGTACCAACCGTACAGGCTGGGTGAGACATCTCCGATTGGTGCCAAACAGCAGCTCCTGAGCTACGGAGCAAGCGTGGTCCGGATTTAAACCACCTTTGCTCAAATCTTTGCAGCTCTAAAGTCCACGCAGTGCTCAGTGTTTGCACTGTACTATTGTGAAGGATCTCTTTGGGGTGGGAGTTCGCATTGCTTGGCTGCTTTAGCTGCTGTGCGGTGTTGTACGTTGTGCTCTTAAAGAGCCGGTTACGTGCGTCTCTTGGCTGCAGGCTGACCCTGTAATACAATGTCCCACGGTGAGTCTCTGGCAGCTGGGATTGAACATTCGACCTCTGGGTAGAAAACCATGAGGCTCTACTGCCTGAATTAAAAGACCCACATTGGAGCACGCTCATAAATGGCCCTGCCACCACGAGGGGGTGATAGAGTGCCCCACCAAGTGGGTGGGGGTTACGGGCGCCTCGTGACAAATGGACATTTATTATTTGCAAAAAACTATATTGAAACCTTCCTTAAGACCCCCCCGCCCAGTATTTGCTCCTCTGTGTTGACTGTTGCAGGGTTGCAGCTACCAGTCAATCAGTAACAACACCTGGTGATGCCCATGAGTCAGAAGCAGCCGTGAGGTGTTTGCTGCTTATGGAAGGGAGTTGGAGCAGCCCAGATCGATGGTTGTAGTGGTCCATTTCTCACCCCAGGGATGGGCCTAGGAAGAAGACTCATGTTCTTGAACCTTCCCCATTTTACAGAGAGGAAGTGATTTGCCCAGAGTTGCTGAGTGAGTCAGTGTCAGCTCTAGGAGTAGAACCTAGACCAAACACTTCCTTCTTACCCCCTGCCTGGGAGAAGCATGTCTCACACAAGCATGATCAAGTGTGGTCTGAGATGATAAAAAACTTCCCTTACTGAGCGCATGACCCACAGGGAGACTGCTGCAGTGACAACACACGTCTTCGCTTGTTTCCCATTTCTCTCTTTCTCTCTGACAGGGCGTTTTTCTGGCTAGTGTCCCTGCTGCTGGCCTCTTTGGTCTGGTTCATTTCCGTGCACCTCAGCAATCGGGAGGACTCCAGGCTGCAATATGGCCTCCTGGTCTTTGGGGCCGCGGTGTCGGTGCTGCTGCAGGAGGCGTTTCGATTTGCCTACTTCAAGCTACTCAAGTAAGAGCACCCCTCTAGGAGCAGACTGTCTCCCCCTGTGTGAAATGGGGCCCGGGAGGCTGCCCTCCTGGGTGAGATCTGCTGATGAAAAGCACTAGATAAGAACTAGGCATTATTATTAGAAACCGTGGGTGGCACCTGATCGTCGAACCCACCCCCAAGTGTGTTGCCCCCGTCTCTTGTAGATACGATCAATTGGCTGCCCTTTGTCTCTGCCACTTGCTTGATCAATACCACCTCCCCCGGTATGCCACCAGCCCCCTTCCAGTACATCTCCTGCTTCAAACCCATAGGCCGTTCTCTTCTTCCTCTGCCCCCCAGGAAAGCCGACGAAGGCTTGGCGACGCTCAGTGAGGATGGGCAGTCTCCCATCTCCCTCAAGCAGATGGCCTATGGTGAGTAAACTGCTGGGCAAGAGCGTGTGCTTCCCCTCCCCCCGTGTAAATGACTGACCCCTCCACGCCCCGTTTCGGCCGTGCCCTGCAGCAGGTCTAGGGTGCCCAGATACCACGGTGATGGGGGTGATATAAGAATTGGAACAGAGCAGCCGGGTGCTGCTGACTCTGTGTTGCAGTCGCTGTCTGGCAGTCACGCTTCCCTCTGTTAACTTCTGCCACTTGCCAGGAGCCTTGGCGCGCACTTAAGATGCATCTTCCTCCCCTCCCTGCCCCAGAACGCATTGGGCACAGCCCTGCGATGCGCTGAATTCTCCAGGCATCTCCGGATGCTAAGTCTGTCTCCTCGCCTCCTGGGAGAGCAGGGGTAACGTGCAAGATGCCGGGGAACTCCCCTGCGCTTGTCAAAGGAGTCCAAAGCTCATTGTGATGCTTCGCGCAGCCACTGGTAACTTCAGCGCTGTTGGTCAATATCCTCTTCCTCCTCCTAGTATCGGGGCTGTCCTTCGGGATCATCAGCGGGGTCTTCTCGGTCATTAACATCCTGGCGGACTCCATAGGCCCGGGCATCGTGGGGATCCACGGGGATTCGCCTTATTACTTCATCACGTCAGGTAAGGCCGGAGCCTCTGTGCGCTTGGGAATGATGGGGCCCGCTCCTGTCCTGATGCCGTTTATTGGGTTGGGCTCAGAGCCCAGATCAAACGCAGCAGGGGGAACCAGCTTTCCCTCTGGCTGTAGAAGATCAGATGCACCCAGAACCAGAGGAGACTGTTGGGGCATGATGCAAGGCTGCCCCGTCCCTTCCTGTCCGCCAGGAGCTAAATAGATCACCACAGCAGCATCCATCTTGGGCGGCAGTGCTAGCTACTGGGTAGAGCAGGAAACTGGGAGGCTAGAGCGCCATTGTTAATCCTGGCCCCGTTGAAGTAAACGGTACACCTCCTTTTGACTTCAGTGGGGTTCTAGTCACGGCTCTGCCACTGATCATTGTGTGACCTTAGGCCCTCACTAAAAATGTGTCTCCCTGCTGGTGGGGCTCTGAATCTAGCAAGTGTCTTGAGAGCCCTGGATCAAAGGGACTAGAAGAGGGTTATCATTACGTAGCCTGGAGGAACCGCTTGTGGCTACAGCTGTGAATCCTTCTTCCAAATGAGATGTGACACCTAGGCCCTCATTGTTTACGGTCGCTAATGATCCCCATAAAGACCGGTATGTTCGCCTCAAATTTATCCCCTTTCCCAACTTCAGATTCCACTGGAGAAACGATTCACACCTCCTCCTATAAAAGTTTATTGTGTGGGATGGCTGCGGGGCTCCACTCCAGAGGTGGCTGCATTTCAGTAGCCATGCACAAACCGGTCTGCAAAATGCTTCGGGATCCTCCACGTGGAAAGGTGTTATAGAAGTGGGGAGATTGTGGTAACATATTGCTTTTGTGAAGGTTTAGGGTGCTGACCCCCCTCTCTCCCGCCTCCTAGCATTCCTGACCATGGCCGTCGTCTTCCTACACACGTTCTGGGGGGTGATCTTCTTTGACGCCTGCGAGAGGCGGCGGTATTGGTCCCTGGCGCTGGTGGTGGCCAGTCACCTCGTCACGTCCGGGTTGGTGAGTGGGGCTGAAGTCGTGCTGGATAGAGAGAGGTGATCGGATCCGACAGGGATGGCCGGCAGTGTGGGGATGGCTGGCTGGCACTGCCCTGGGCTTTGGGGGGGAGGATGGGAGCCGGGGGGAGTGGGAAATGGGATAGTCCGGGCTGCAGCAACAGTGCTACAGAGTACACTTGCTTTCTGAAATGTCACAAAAGCTCATTCAGGGCTAGTCGCTCCCTGTTCTGACCCTCCCCCTGCGGCAGCTGATCCTGACGTGCTTGTGAGGAGATGGGTCTGGAGGGGGCTTAAGCAGTGTTAATAAAGGACTTAGGGATCCCGAAAGCCCCTTGCAAGGGGCTCTGTATTATCCACTAAGCTTCGCATGATGAAACTGCTGGGCAGAAGTTGCAGCAGGGATCAGCATCGCTCCGCTCGGGGGAGCGGGTGCTGCCCATCTCCCCCGCCCCCAAAGACTTAGATGTGACGGCGTGGAGCAGAGTGCCTGGACCGGGCGCAGTCGCTGGGACCGGGTGCCAGGGCTCTGCAGGCAGATGGAAGGCGGTGGCACTTCTGACCTCGCTCTCCCTCCATCTCTCCTAGACGTTCCTGAATCCCTGGTACCAAGCCAGCCTCATCCCCATTTACATCATCACCATCTCCATGGGCGTCTGGGCCTTCTTCACGGCCGGCGGCTCCTTGCACAACGTCCTCGCCTGCCTTTCCTGTAAGGATCTAGCCGGGGGGAGTGGGGGCAGCAAGACCACATTCACTGAAAGTGCTGGATGGTGGCACTAATCCACTCAGGAGACTCCCTTGGCCTAAGGTTGCAGTGGGGGGCAGTGGCACATGGATAGCAGCCACTCCCAGCTGGCTGGGTGCACACAACGCCCACCTAATGACCCGCTCCAGAACAATTGGCTCGAAATGATGCAAGCCTCTGTGACCCTGATCCTGCTTGGCCTGCAGGGGGAGGGGGAAGCGAGTGGGATGGGATTAGCCAGGGATTTCCACTAGATCCGGGACTGCTCCACCCCTGATGTCTGGTGGGGGAGGGCTATTCCCCCCGGAGCACAGGCTCTCTTGTGGTGGAGACTCCCAGCCAGGCGCTGCTCCATCACTTAACCGTCTAAACCCAGTGATGGGGAAACAGCCCTGGTAGGTCCAAGTCATCCCCCAGCCCCACGAGCCAATAGAGAACACGCAGCCACAGCCCTGGCCCTGCGAGACATTCGCTCTCCGTTGGCTGCTCAGTCCTTGCTCTCGCAGCTGAGACCCCCAGCAAAGAGACTGGTGTGGGCCACGGACGTCCACCGTGGAGCAACCTCCCCTGCTAGGGCACAGACTGCAGCTGATCGCAAGCCTCCTGCGGAAGCTGGATTCGAACCTGTGAGCCAGAGGTAGAAGGGTATGAAACCTTTAAGCCACCCACGCTGCTTCATGTGTTCTCCATTGCTGTCTGGCTCAGACAGGCCCCCCGCTGCCGGGGACTGCCTGAGTTACTGACCTTTGCCCTTCCCTTGCAGGTAAACAGGAGGAAGACAACCGAGTGATGGTGTACTCTGCGCTGCAGGTCCCCGTCGAGGACTGAGCCCCTCCTCAGGCCGGCACCTGCCTGCCAGAGACATCCAGGGAAAACCAATACCCCAAGTGCCCTGTTCTCTGCAGCTGGGAGCAGCCTGGGCCACCCCCTCCCCCATGGCAGGAGCTGGGGCATGGGACTCGGAGCCTGTCAGAGCACTCACCCTGCTCATGGGGCTGGACCGCTGCGCTGGTGGAGGCGTGGCTGGGATTGCGAGGCTGAGTCCTGTGGGGCCCTAGCGGTCTCTGTGCTGTGGATTCAAGGGCCTGGGGCACCGCCGGACTTTTTCCCTCCTGTCAGCTGCAAAGGACTGAAGCTCTGACCGGGCCTCTCGGACTCGAATCTGCCCAGAATCGGGCTCATGGCGGGTCTTGCAAACTCTGCCACCCCCTCCCTGTATGAACACGCTGCCCACTTCGGAGGCGAATTGTCCCACGGCTCCTCTGTCTGACTGGGGCTGCAGCAGAGGGGCTGGAAAGTCCTGTTCGGTAGCACTGACGCCCGTCCCTTTTGAAATGGTCCTTTATTGGCATCTATTTCTCTGGATCTCTATTGATACCGTAGGTCTGGGTTAGCGCTTCGGTTGGTGGAGCAGCGAGCCCATCTGGCTGCCCAGCCCCCTGCCCTGGGGCCACGAAGGGCCCTCTGAGCTGTGCCCCAGGGTTTGTGGTAGTGAGGACACCTGTGGCTTTTCTGTGTTTGCCGCGGCGCCAGTGTGACCGGCTCAGCTGGGGACTCGCCTGCCGGCAAAGGTTGGCCTGTTTTGGGGAAGACTCAGCTGGAACAGAACGCTAAAAGGATGGGGTGCGCTCCCCCCTTGAGGTGCAACCAACCCTGCTAACTTCCGTCAAGTGACAGCTGGGTGAGGGCGCCCCCTGCAGGGTTAGTGAGCCCAAGATCCCTGGGTGATGGTCTAGAAACTCTGCAGCATTCTGTCCTTGGGCTCCTCCCCAGCAAGGCACGCATGTGTCTCCGCCTTAGAGACCTGCCCCATTGCAGCGTAGCCTGGCAGGGGGGCTGAGCGTTAACGGGGCTGCCCCCCCACGAGAGAGCTGTGCTCCTAGCTACGCGTGGGAAGCATCTGGGAAAAAGGTAGGCGTGCATCCTGTGTCGCTCCCAGGCACCCCCTACTGGGAGGTCATGCAGCAGCCACGCGGGGGGGTGCAGCGTGCAAGTCATGCCCCAGAATGGAGGGGAAGGTTCTGATTTCGGGGGCGCTGCTGCAGAACGGCTTGCGGTATTGCTGGCTCTGCAAGGGTTAATCTGCTGTAGCAGGCACTACCCGGCTATTGGCAATACCATGCGGCAGCTCGTCTCCAGAGAACCAGATGCTTCTGGTGCTGTGGAAGAGGGCCGGACGGTGCTGCTTTGTTCAGGGGCTAAAAGGGTTGCCTCGCAAACCTCACCCCGGAGACTCCCTGAGGGTGGAGAGCAGCGACCGGCCGGCCGCTGTCTGCTACAAGAAGTTGAAAATCTCAGTGTGTGTGTTTGTTTTTTCCCCTAAGTTTGGGAGAAGATTCACTACATGTCTGTAAAATGGGGATTTTTTAAAATTATTTTTTTGATTCAGAGTAAAATCCTTTTAATAGAGACGCTGTGATGACTAATAAAGCCTTCTTTTGTAATGGGACGGGAGTGAGACCTGGTGGTTCCTTCTGGCCACGTCTGGGGTAAATCCACTTATTTTAGGGGGGCGGGGGGGAGATTGTATCCCTCCCTAGGGAATCTCCACTAAGGGCCACCCACTGTCATAGCAGTTGGGATCAGGGCCCTGCACAGCCACTCTGTGAAATATAGGGTGTCTCGATATTTAGGCGTTTGTCCTGATACTTTGCGGCACTCCGCCTTTTTTTTTTTTTGGCTCTGCCGGCGACCCTCCCTCCCCCCATGTGTCCTGATATTTTCTTCCTCTCATCTGGTCACCCTAGTGAGATAGGCCCTGCCCTGAAGAGCTCCCAGTCTAAATAAATTGGGGGAGGAGAGGAAACTGAGGCACAGAGTTGAAGTGATTTACCCAAGATCATGTGGCAGGTCGGTGGCAGAGTTGGGAATAGAACCCAACTCTCCTGCATCCCTGTCTAGTGCCCTACCCCTGAGCCATGCTGCACGTGCTGAGACACCCCTTGCGACACGCTCGGCCGAGCCTCGGAGCATTGCGAAAACGCACTTTCATCTCAGATTGTGAAATCTCTCCCATCAGCCTGGCTACGTCCTCAGTGCAGTGTCTTGGAACCAGGCTACTTGTGATTCTTACCAAGTTCCTTCTCTCGCCTCTTCCAGCTAAGCCTTACGTGCTAAACTCCTTAACCCTTGCACCATCCCTGGGCAGAAAATATTACTCCAAGTGTAGGTGCTGCTAAGTGGGCAGCCCTGTTGGCGATAGGGGCGGGAGTAGAACTCTCTTTAACTGGCTTTCTGTGGCACAGACTTGCTCTTTATTCTCTCTTTCTGCTTTCCCAGCTTCCTGTGGTGCAGAACTTACTCATCAGATAGCCGAGAAGCAGGGTTTGGTAGTGCCCAGCCACCAGCAGGGGGCCCACGGGGATTTGGCAAGTTCATGCCAGTCCTACAATGCAGGAGAGGAGGAGCTGCCTCTCCTAAGTAACAGGCTGTGGTTTGTCTATGCAGCAATGTTTCTGCCATGGTGACTGGGTTTTGGGCATCTGCCTCTAAGTGCGTTCTGGGTTGTCGGCAGCTGTTAGCAAGAACTAATGGGTGACGTTTCTGTGCCTCGGTTTCCCCGTCACCGAAATAGAGACTCCTCACACTGGCAGGGTCGGTGGGGGTTCAGATCTGGGGACTGAGGGTGCTAGAAAAACAGCAAGGCAATGAATGAGAGGGCTCGTCTGCAGTGTGTTCATGAAACCAGGTGTGGCGTAAATTCTAGTGCGCACCAGCTTGTCCCGTGTGGACCCTGCTGGCATGCACTAAACATTCCCTAGAACGCGCTAATGTAGCCCCCTTTCAAACAGTCCTACCTTAACGTGCACTAGGGAACTTTTAGTGCACGGCGGCCCAGTTTAGGGTGTGAAATGCTGGTGTACGTTGGATTTACACCCCAGCTGGGGTGGGTTAATGTACCATATAGACAAGTCCAGAGAGATGCGAAGCAGTCCTAGCTGGAGCTGCGGGGGGCTGCAAGTTCCGTTTCACAAAGGATTTTTGAGATTTCTAAATCTGGCTTTGTGCCACGTTGGCACAAAAACTGAAAACTTCCAAATTCTCCACGCAGGGAAACTCTGGGAACTTCGGTGCTGAAAACCTCTTGATTTTGACTTCTTGATTTTGTGTTGGGTTAGAGAATATAAGGCAACATTTTAAAAAAACTATATGGCAAGTTGTTTCCCAAAACAAAATTAAACGTTTTGTTCCAAAAATGTCACCCTGGGCCACTTCACCACCGTTGGTCCTACTTGCGTTGTCTGAAACACAATTCTGGCAGAATGGCCGGATTTTTGCAAAGGGTTCAGGTTTTGATAGAATTGCATCCCCCCCCCCCCCCGCAGGATGGTTTGTCAAAGCTTCTCCAACTAGCTCTGTTTAACCCTGTTTCACTGGCTTAGCTGGGTCCTAGCAGCTTAGCGAGTGAGAAATCAAGACTGGGGGTTCTAGGGTGAGCTCTGTAGGTCTGCACCCCTGACAGCTCAGCTGTACCCAAAAACCTCCCTCCCCAGGGCTGTGGGGTAAGTCCAGGCTGCACCTGAAGGTCCCAGAGTGAACAAAAGCCCCAACTCTATTTTGTTTTCGCTTTAGAGCAGCTGTCTCCCCAGCCTCCTTCCTAATACTCTGGATTTCATGTGAATCTCTATCTCCCCAGCCTGTGTGGGAAGAGCGATCCTTCTCTTTAACAGATGGGGAAACTGAGGGACAGAGAAGCAAAGAGACTTGCCTTAAAACCCCACAGTAAGTCAGTGACAGAGGAGGGAAGAGAACCCAGGAGTCCTGGCTTCCGGTCACTCCTACCTTAAGAGTCCAGGCGCCTGTTTCTCCCACCATCACTCTCAATCCTGGCAACCTATTTGGTTCAAAACCAGCTGGGGCGCTGGTGCCAGCTCCGCCATCCTCAATTATCCACAGAGCAGCAGAGATGGCGCAGTGGGACTATGTCTATGCTGGTAATTTTAAATGCTAGGACAAGACGCAGCCCAAAACACAGGCCCGTGTTAAGCTCCGTGCTGGTGCAGGGATGGGCTTTTGATTTCGATCTTGCTGGCCACCAGGGGGTGCTCTGGCCTCTGAAATGGATTTGCCAGGAAGAGGAGGAGGGTGGCAAATTGGGCCTGTGGGGGCCTGGTGAGAGCCCCTGGTTGCTACCTGGCTGGTGTTTCTGTTGCTTTGTTGATTGCAATGTGCCTTTTTTTTGTCATTCACTTGCAGGCTGTGCGACCACCCAGTGATCTTCCCTCTCCCCGTGCTGGGCCAAGCCCCACTCCATCACTCCGGTCAGTGGCAGGCTCCGAGCTGCTGCAGTTTTATCTAGTGATGCCAGGCTGGGACGAAAGGCTGCTGAGTGATGTTTCCCAGGATGAGTGTGTGGGGTGCGGGTGGGGGGTTCTGCCACTGGGGGACTGGCCCTTTAAGGGGAGATGGATCCAGCCCCACCTCCTCCCCCTGTGCACAAAATGAGCACCCTGCCAGGTGGGTGGTGAGGCTAGCTCAGGCTGTGAGGAGGTAAAACAGGATCCTGGGAGGAAAGAAGGGAAATTGCAGGTAGGAAGCCCCAGGGATTGCTGGAGAGCAGGTGGAGAAGACGCTGGACATGGAGCCCCTCTCCCTAGCTGCCAGGCAAGGGGTGGGTGGGGTGGAAGACAGCTAGGAAGGCTGGCCTGTGGAGAGCAGCAGGAGACAGGACCGTCAAATTGTGGAAGTCAACGAATGGCTACGCAGGTGGTGTCGGAGAGAAGGCTTTGGATTCTTCGACCATGGGATGGTGGTCCGAGGAGTGCTAGGCAGAGACGGGCTCCACCTAACGAAGAGAGGGAAGAGCATCTTCGCCAGCAGGCTGGCTGACCTAGTGAGGAGGGCTTTAAACTAGGTTCACGGGGGCAGGAGACTAAAGCCCTGAGGGAAGTGGGATACCGGGAGGAAGCACGAGCAGAGCAGGAGAGCGCAAGTAGAGGAGGACTCCTGCCTCACACTGAGAAAGCGGGAGGATCAGCAAGTTATCTGAAGTGCCTATACACAAATGCAAGAAGCCTGGGAAACAAGCAGGGAGAACTGGAAGTCCTGACACAGTCAAGGAATTATGATGGGATTGGAACAACACAGACTTGGTGGGATAACTCGCATGACTGATATTCTATGATTCCTCTGCGTGAGTGTCTTGATTTTTTTGGGGCGGCTAAAAAAAATCCTCCCTTGATTGCCAGCAGGAAGAGTGGGGCCAGCTGGAGACCCCAAGCCGCTGGAGCAGCCTGGCTCTCCCCCTAGGGGGACTCATCCCTTTCCTATTTGGCATCACGTGCCTTACAGCTTAAGGGGCCATTAGATCCTCTCGGCCGCCCCCTGCCTAGCACAGGCTGGTAAGTTTCTCCCAGGGACCTTGTTCGCTCTGCCCCACGTGCGCCTTGCCATGGGCATTGGCGCCAGCACTGGCTGTGGTGCTAGCAGCTGGTAACCCAGGCTACTGTTGGCACAGTGCTTTGGAGAGGCCAGGGGCTGGGGGCCTTGGTTACAAAGCAACCCAGGAGTTCTGCAGTGCCCCCCCTGGCGGGTGCGGGGGGGCATTTGAGGAGCTGCCAGCAGGGCTTGTGCAGGGTTCACTGATCTATCCCTCCACCCCCTCCCCTCAGCCTCATGTTTGGATACCAAATCCTGGTTACCCAGGAGCTTCTCTCTTCAGGGGATCAGACCAGCCCCTGGTTTGGGCTGGTGTGATCCTCCTAGGCTCCAACCACCGCAGCTGCACAGCAAAGGATGGCTCAGAGAGGGGTGATGGAGAGTGGGTTGTGCCCCAGGCCGGGAAAGGGGGCTGCAGGGACCCCCTGGCCAACCACCCTGTGCTGCTGGACAGGGCAGCACTTAGGGACAATGGGTAAATAGGCAGGCCTGGCTGTGGAGCGGCTGGGAGGCCGGGGCAGGGAGAGGAGAGACTGCCCCGTATGCTGAAAAGGGAGTAATTCCTCCTCCCTCCCTGAGGATCTCTAAGCACCTTGCAGCTTTAAGGGAGGAACAGTGGGATGTAGGTTGGTTTTAACCCTTTCTTGGAGAGGGGGAAGCTCTGACAGCAACAGCTGGAGCGACTTGGCCAGGTTCACCAAGCAAGTCCTTGGAGGAGCCATGACTAGAACCCAGGAGTCCTGACACCCTCTTCTAACCAGCAATCCATACGCCACAGGTTGAACCCTGGAGTCCTGGTTCGATTCCCTGAATTCTGTTCTAACCAGTCGCTGCTACTCCGCTCCTAAGGTAGGTTTTCTATTCCTGGGATCATCCTAGTCACCCTTCTCAACCCCTGTTCCAGTTTGAAGTCATCTGTCTTAAACAGGGGAACCAGAACTGCGCGCACTGTTCCAGATCCTTTCCTCGGAGAAGACTGGGCTGGGATTTCAAGGAACACTGTCACTTGCTTTTATTTTTTAACAAGGGTTTTCATCCAGGAGCGTTTTTTTCAGGATCCATTTGCCTTTG